AGTATTTAAAAATAGCTATTAATTTTATTATCACCATGGAAATGTTTACTGCCACTTATATATATTGTAGCCATAGTAGAAAATCTTCATTCGTTATTTCGTTATTCGTTATTTCGTCATTTCGTCATTTAAATTCTATTATGTAAACTTCATTAAATTATTAGTAATTGTATATTTTGTGATATTGGTATTTTTATATAAACAACAAAAATCAATTACGGAGTTATTTATTTATTTATTTATAGCATTGTGATACAAATATAAATCATTATTATAATCGCTATAGGGTAAAAAACACTAGCGCCGCGTTGTAGCAAACCGGTGGAACTAAACGCTCTATTACTATATAAGGGAAACAATTAATTTTAATTTTTCACGCTACTAATTTGCACTCCACGAGCACATATTTCAAAGATAATACTATCAGTTACGTTTGCAAATAAATCTGTACCTAATATTCACTATAGTTTGCACTCACTGCTGGTATTACTCCTAACGTAAACGAAATTGAAACATTTTTTATACATGAAAATTATACTTGAACAAAACATAGAACGCAGGCTAAGGGTCTCTAAAATTGAAGACGCAACCGTAACAGTTCATAAACGATTCCTCTTAATTAATTTCTTCTCGTAATTTGTGGAAAAACTATCACCTGTCAATGTTTAGTGTAGCGACCTATAGTTCCTCGAGTACGAGTTTCGAACACCAACTTGCACAAGCCGCAAGTGGCTGTGCGCCTAGCGTCGAAGTCAACCGATATTCGATGTTAAGCAAACAGAGTGCGGAACCGCTAGGATGGGTGGACCATCCTAGCGAATAGTTACAACAACAAGCGTCTGGGGTAAGGAGTCGCTGCCATCAGCCCCACTGATGAGTCTAGGCAGCGACTCTGAGACGAAACGCATAACCTTTCCTCACCTTACCCACATCATCACTTCCTACATTATCCTCGCATTATCATCGCCATTTCAAACCCTTCACTAAACATTGAAAGGTGACAGTTTTTCTACAAATTACGAGAAGAAATTAATTAAGAGGAATCATTTGTGGACTGTTATGGTTGCATCTCCGATTTTAGAGACCCTAAGCTTGCGTTTTATGTTTCATTTAAGTATAGTTTACGTATATAAAGGATGTTTTAATTTCGTTTACGTTAGGAGTAGTGTCAGTAGTGAGTGCATATTTTCGCAAACTATAGTGAATATTAGATTCAGATTTATATGCAAACGTAACTGATAGTATTATCTTTGAAATATGTGCTCGTGGAGTGCAAATTAGTAACGTGAAAAATTAAAATTAATTGTTCCCCTAATATGGTTATAGAGCGTTTAGTTCCACCGATATGCCACAACGCGGCGCTACTCCGTAAAACAGAGAAAATTTCATTTTCGAAAAAACCTCATTTAGCGAAATGAATTGTGAACTTTGGCGATTGTATTACCCTAATGAGACCCTTAGCTTTCTTTTCATACCCCATTTGACTCATAAAATGCAGAAATAAGTATTTTTATAATTTATTAGTACCAGTGAGTTACTGTTAGATGGCGCTACCATGTCCATTTTGTGACAGTTCGCTCTAATTACGAAAAAAACCCAATTAGGAGGAATAATTTGCGAATTTTTTTACATGCCTCCTTAAACTTAGGTTCCCCGCTTTTTTTCTATGTGTGATTTGTCCTAGAAAAGCGTGTGTGTAAAAAGTTGAATTTTTTTTTCAATAGATCGACGGATGTCCTTGTCGCACACTATTGCTTTCTTTGTCTAGCGTCATTAGACAAGGAGACAAACAGCGTGTGACAAGGACAGACATATGTGCGCGGTAAACAAGGAGAGCGACAGTGTGCAACAAGGACATATTCGCACAAAGAGAACAAAAGCGTGCGATAAGGATAGGGTTAAGCACAGATGTGGTATGTATAAGAATAGACAATCTTATGAGGTTTTTTAACCTGAAATACCGACATAGTGAAAAAATTAATGGTTTTTTAGCGCACTCTACACTTGAACTGTGACTTAACGTGAAACAACGATAAGTATGGGAACTACATTACCTAAAACGATCGAAATTGGTCAAGCCAAATTCAGTCATATACCTCATCTGTTTTTTCACGTTAGGTTTACTCGTGTCCCTCGTTTATGCTTCTACTATTTGAAACTTGAACATCACTTTGAATAACTTGTATCATTTATTTTTATATAATTTTTATTTGACAAGTGGTTGATTACAAAAAAAAAAAAAAAAAGAAAAAAGATGGAAAACATAAGGCTAAGCCCAACAACAATGGATATGAAATTAAAAAATAGGAACAGTGTGAATAAACTCAAACATAGCTCTCCAAAATTGCAGGAGGTCTTACGAGAGGTTAGCCGCGTGACATCTCTGATTTTGTAAATTTAAAATGAATAAAGTCTATACATGATTACAATACAATGTGTTGTCAATTGTGTTATATTCTAACTTGTCAATGGAATTGAATTTTAGAGATGTCGTCAAAAAATGAGGGAGAAACGAGGACAGTTATTTAACAAACGTAGATTTGGTTTAGAACTCTGTTCGAAAGATGTACAGGAGACTTTAACCGAAATCGTTCGTAAAGAATTCAGTGATCTTATGACTACAAACCTAGATTCAACTTTTGTGGATAATTCATTTCTAAATGAATCACTTGATCCCGAAGCAACATTTGAACTTGAAAATGAAATAGTCAATGAAGGTGAATTGATAGCTCTTTTTTTTTGTTATATACAGCATCTAGTAGTATTTCTATGTTATTTATAGAGCAATGGATAATTCAAGAATATGAAAGAATGATGCAAGAAGAAATTGAAATGCTAGCTCTTACTGCAGATGGACAAGTTGATGAAGTTATCTGTCCTATATGTCAGATATCGAACTTAATAGAAAAAGAAAATAAAATAGCTTGTAGATCTTGTGATTTTATATTGAACAACAGTGTCAGCATTAAGGAAGTAGGATATCATATTAATAACTGTGTGAATATCCATTCGTCTCAGTGTAAAGAACCACCTGGCTTTTTTCCACTTCCTGAGAATGACAAGATATCCCTGTATCTCATTTGTGATAAATGTTCAACTTGGACATTAATAATATAAATTTTGATATTTCCTTCAATTAATCAGCCATTATTGAGAAACATTATATTTTTTAAGTTACTAATTCTTAATTTCATCATTAGTAATAATCCTTCAATATATATTGTATTTGTTAGGATCTTTGATATTAAATTTAGCTTTGGACGTCATATTGATGTTCAATAAGATAACATAGACAATAAGATGTTTCTTTTTAGTAAAATAACAAAGGAAAGAAATAAAAAATGAATAAAGAATCGATAATTTTTTATGTTTTGTTCGTAGAAGAAAAAAAGTACTAAAATTTAATTTTTAGGGGAGATTATTGTTTGAATAACAATACATGAATTTGTATGTGATTATATGGTACATATTGTACAAAAAAACTTCCCTTTGTTGATCTGTTTATATTATTTATCATTTATACATATACAATGTAAAGATAAATAAAAGACAACTGTATATTGTAAAGATTAATTGAACAGCTATTTGTAAAATGTAAAATTTATATTTTTGCAATATTGTTAAAATAGCTTAAGAAATTCTTAAAGATTATTCATCACTTTTAACTGTCTGCTATATAAAATTGGTATTTAAAGCTAACAATATTACAATATGCAGAAGTCTTTTATAGCTTAAGCTCTAATATTTAAATTCTGTTATAAATGATTTGTACATTATCACATGAAATTTCATATTAAAAACTTCATATTTAATAACATTAATAGTATGTAATAAACTTGAAATTTGTGAGCAATCCATTTTTTTTTATTTCATATGTATTTGATTATCAGTAATATAATCCTTTTATTCTTTCAGTTATTACTATGCAAGTATCAACAGCTATATTATTTATTATAGAGTGCAAGATGAAAAATGAAAATATTCCCAAATATTTAATTTTAAATTGTAATTTTTAACAATTTATGTTGAAAACTACAATTTAAAATTAAATATTTGGGAATATTTTCAATTTTCATCTTGCACTCTTCTACTTCAACAATTTATGTCTCGTTATAAATTTCATGGCACTGATTTCATGTATAGTTGTATATTTTATATATCATAATAACATTCATGTATTTTCGTAATGTAAAAGAAAATATAACCAATTATTTAAAATCAATGGTAAATAATTCTTTATTCGTTAATAAAAAAATTTCTAAATTTATACGATCTTTTAACGAAAAATTATTCATATTTTGATTATTATAAAAATATGCCAACAATATAATATATAATCAAATTAATAATATATATTTAAAAAAAAGAAATTATCTTAAAAATAAGAAACGTTATCTAAAAAGAAACAGAATTTCGAGAAATTATTATTACTAATTTTCATCTCTTATCATTGCCACAAATATCATACTTAGTTAAAAACAAGCATAGTAAAAATATAATGGAATGGTTTGCTCCAAACAATTTTCCTTCCTTTTTTTGAATATTACATAAAAAATGTAGTCAAATATTACAATGAATTTAATGGGTAAATGAAAAGAAAAAAAGAAAGGAATTTATCGTAAAAATTTGTTATCGCAATTCGTGAAAATGTAAAATTATCATACTTCTCTCAATTTTGAATGAACATAAATGTGACGTACATAATTATGTATAATAAATATTAATGTTTTCATCTTATTTATCTTTTTTATCTTTTTAATATTTTATACGAACGTATGAACAATCACGACTACCGTTATAAAAAAAAAAAGGATATTCAAATCTCAATATATTCCAAATTTGTAACAGTCTGTATATCATAGTATATATTTTGTCTAATGTTTGAGATGTTAAATTCATGTACATCTTCATATATTCTTAATAATTAGTTATTAAATTTTATGATCACAATTTTGTGAAGAATAGGGACAAATTGCACTTTAAGTTCTTTCCATTCTCAACTGTAATCGTTGTAAAAGGAAACCTGAACGTCTACTAGGGGTGTGCGGCATTTCGGGTTCGGGTCGGGTCCCGAAAGTTTGTGATACTCGTGTACCCGAAAAATCTATAATATTCGGGTAACCGAATATTACATCACTGGTCAGAGTGATAATTTTTCAATCGGATTTTACATTTATTCTTTCAAATTTATAAATATTTTTGTATTCTATATAAGTGAAATCAAATTTTAAAAATCCACAAAGAAAACAGTTGATAATATGAAAATATTATGAAAATATTATATGAAAACTATTTTATTTTAAATTACTGTGAAGAAAACATAATTGTTCGACTTTTTGGGGTATTAATTTTGTTCGCGTAACTGTTACAACGTTGCCAGCATTTGACAATAAGCCTTTTTTTATTTGGGTTTCCTTTTTAGTCGGTCGAAAGTCGCCAAGAGCACTTGATATTGTCGTCGCAGTTATCCATGGATCTTTTTCTTTTAAGTTAATTTAGTATACATTGTATACGCGAGTTTTCTGTGAGTTTTATTTTCTATCCACTCAAGATTGCTCGTGTTTACTAACGATGTAGAATTTTCATGATACCTTGTAGCTGTATAATTTAACAAAACCAATAGTTTTTCCTATTCCGCAAAAATAAAGAAACGCTAACTTATTTTTAGAAAACATACTTTCCCGAAAAAGTAATATAATTTACACTTTACAATCAATCAAAAATCATTATTCAAGTATTCATTTAATAGAATCGCAAAGCTGGATTAATTATGTCGTTGGGTAAACGGACTGAATACTCTTACTATGCCCGCTTTTTTTTATCATTGACAATAGCAGCAATATTGTAAATTCAATTGAATCCAATAAAGATTGAAGAACGAATAAGTGTAAAATTCGATTGAAAAATTACCCGACTCATGACGTAATATTCGGGTATATAATATCGGAATATTATAGATTTTAGAGTTCCCGAATCGATCTAAGCACTACCACTTCCCGACTTCGATGTCGGGTACCTGAAATTTTCGGGTACTCGAGTATCACAAGCTTTCGGGTCCCGACCCGAGCTCAGATACCCGCACATCCCTAACGTCTACTACTGTAAAAAAGGGTCATCTTAAGAATTTTCACGTAAGTTTCTTCCCTAAATTGGCTTACTGCTACGGTAACTGCTTTTCTTTCGCTCGTTCTTTTAAACATACAAGCAAATCACGCTTCACGATTTATTCGTATATTATAATTGGTCACTGAGTTGATCGTCGCCGTTCCGTGCGATTAACTGCTGCGAGTGCTTCTTCCGGCAGGCGACCAGGATCTGATAGAATATCGGTGGCAGTACACAGATATCTTAGGGAGTTTAGAACAGCTACAAGAAATTATTAGTAATATTATATTTAATTCCAAATTTATTATACTATAACGCCTTTACTATAGTAGTCTTAATATTTTTCCAAAAAGGATACAAACCTGGTCTGAGATCAACGAGTGAGCAATGTTGCTCAACCCACAATATTGTACTTCTGTATAGATCTTCAACACTCGCAGTTGATACCGAGGAATTGAAAGAAATCATCAGAGGTTCAAGTAATATACTGAACTAATCGTTTTATAAGGAAATAATGCCACATACACGTTTTTAATTGAACAGAAATTGCAATAAACGTTTTAAGAAGGATACAATCCAAAATTTCCAATTCTCTCTTGTACGCGTGCGTACATATTCATCGAACATTTCCTTCATTTTGCTAGTTCTGTGTCTAGAAATTGGAGCACCCGTTGCAGGAAGCATAGATTGACAATTACTATAACAAAAAATTCGATAAATTACTACGATCTTTTTAAAACAGAATTCGTGTCTTTTGTCTCAATTTTCTTGTTACCTAATAGACGTATTAAGGCACTCGATTTGATGTCTTAAACTATCCATCTCCTCTTTCAACTGATTCCTCTCCGCCCTTAACTGCCTGATATAATCTGCTCCTTTTTGTAGCATAGCAGCCTTGCTCATCTTTGTGTTCGGATTTTGGCTAAGCTGCGGTATCAAACTATGCAGCATATCAAATCCATTTTTAATATTATATCTACGCTTTTGTTCCGCGTGAATGTGCCCGACTCTTCTCTGTTCCTTATATTGTCCCCGTTCAGTTTCACCTTTTATGTAACTTCGACTCGGTGACAATGGGCTTCCTATACTCATCGGACTATGTAAAGGACTGAGGCTTAACCCTTGAGGACTGTGCGCGTTAGAGCTATCCTTTGGTGACCCGGGACTATTTTGCGGCTGATGCGCTGGGGTGTTTGTATTTAATAACATTTGTTGGCTGCAAGTAGTCTGTTGCATTACCTAATATGCAACATACAGTTGAACGCGTTGTATATTATACAAGATAAAGGTTTATTATTGTCTGTATCAACGTTATGTAATCTGTGATATGTTTATATGATTTGTTACTTAAGTCTTCGTAGTTCAAACTAAAGAATTCTATCCGTTACGATACAAGGACGAAAATGTTGAATTAATTTTATATTAAAGAGTACTTTATTCTTGAATAACGTTGACTCAAGTAACTTTTAATTTTGAAATAAGATGATATAAAAAGGTACCTGTTGTTGTGATTGCACTTGCACCGTAGACGTTTGGACAGTGACCGGCGTGGTAATATGGTGAGCAGTTGTTACCTGCGTAGACGAAGCTGAAGGTGGAAGCATAGGTAAGATGTGTTTCATGGTAGTGGCTGTTTGGGTCACTGTCGGCACTATATTATCAGCTGGCATATTCATTGTGTGTACACCAGATGTGTCTATGTAACGATATTGAAGCTCTCATAATATTCTTTTTATCGACAAAATATATAATACCGTGTGATCGATTTCTCAATAATTTGCGCATCACGTCGCCATTAAACGATTTATAAAATATAGAATAAGTTAACCGTACAAAGATTACGTTTCTTGGAATACATACTATTCGTGAGTAACTGTGCGAGCAAAACATTGTTATTTAGATTTAGTGCGGGATCGCTCGCCGCTGATACTAATGGTGGCGGGTGCATTCTTGGTGTGGTTAACGACGAGCTACTTCGAGATCTATTCCTTGCTTTTATCTGATACTGAAACAAAAAATATTGTTTCTTATTACGATTAACTTCTTACGCTTGAATATAAAGAAGAAAAAAAAATTTATTCATATTTATAGTAAATGATATTATCATAAATTATGTATGAACCTTGGGCACAGCAAATACTTCTTCTTTCTCCGAATTTGACACAGCAGGTTGTGGCAACAATTTTGTCGTCTGTACAGTCGGCGTAGTGAGATCTAAGCCGGAGGGTCTGCATTGCAACAGTATCGACGATTGCGAAGGTTGCTCCGCGGAAACCGATACGACTTGTTGTGGTGGGTGTGTCTGAAAAAATATCACGATAATCTGATTGTATTGTTAATCATAGTTTTTTGCTTTATTAATGTGCTATGCAAATGAAACAGCGCGTTGCAGTGAAACAGGACTTGTCATGTTGTATTTGTGAAATACCTTGAAATTATTAACGTTGAATTTGCATTGCTGCGCATTAAAACTTTGCGGTAGTGTGGAGAACTTGTAACAACATTGTTGCGGTTGAACGACTTTGTACGGTTTTGTTGAAATGGGCGCGACCGATGGCAGAGGCCTGATGTTCCTGTGTTGTGCCGACACTGTAGAATTTGTTTGTCCAAAATTTTGTTGCACCGTCACCAGATTTTGAACGTGGCCAGCAGTGATAGGCGCGATTTGATTCGCGTGAACAGGCTGTTCATTCAACCTTGTCATCTGCACTTGGTTTTGAACTGATGCCAACTGAACAGATTGAATTTCCATGGCGTAAGATGGTTGCTGCGAAGTTTGTTGATATGTCGAATTTTGTTGCGATTGTTGCGTTGTTCTTTGATACGTGTTCCGTTGCTGCTGAGGCTGTTGAATCACTCGGCTAGTCCTCGAGGAAATTCTACTTGACCGACCTTTTTCCCTAACAGGTTGACTGGTTGAAGTAGGTTCGTAGTTTTGTTGTATGGTGCTATAGTTCTCATTCAGAGTTCTATAACGTATGTATGAACGTTAAAATAGAATTGCATTATAAAAAATTCTATATAATGCATGATTGATGCTCACATATCATTCCTGAATGTATTTGTTGGCTCTGGCTGAGGTTGAGTATATATTTTAGCGGTGTATTGAAGATTCTGTATACTACTTCCTTGTTCGTCCTGTGCCAACGCTGGCTGTTGTGCGGTTTGGTCATTCTTTACTGCGGATTCTTGGCTTAGCTCGTTGATCTGATTCATAGGCGTCATCAAGTCGAGATCAGGATAGTTCGCGTTCAAGGTACTGTTTCGAAACATGTCGTCCTCTTCGGGGACAGGGGGCAACTTAGAATTTAAAAATTCTAAAACCATGAATATTATATCAATAATATATTTTGTCATTCACATCAACTATTAGACAGTATATTTTATATTGACTTGATACCTTGTAACGGTTCAAGAGTGTCCATAAAATCATCTAAATTTGGCTGGAGTGGTCCCAAGCTGGGTTGTATAAAATCCGCCAGACTAGCTCCACGCGCTGTAATGATAAGGAATTGCATAAAATAATTTTTTTACAGGTATAACTATACATTAACTATACTATATGTAGGTTTCATTCGAATTCATTTTCGTTCCGTGTTACAATACTGTAATCGATACATATATTATTTCGTTATCATTCCTTTATCGGCGTTCTACTTTTTTTCTCGGTTCCCGTTTCTGTAACTTAAACGATTTTACTCGTCTACTTTTATTTATGAATTACCAATTTCTCTGGGATCGGGAAAGTATATTGGTTGATTTGAACTGATTGTTGAAAATAACGTATCAGTCATAAGCTCCATGTAATCTTCATCAACCATCATACTCTCTCCACCTGGAGTCCCACTGGTCCCTCCGTGTGTGTTGCCTGTACCTGCTCCAAAATTGCCCGTTGTTCCCAATCCACTGCCCCAATCTAACACGTCCATCGATTCCATCTGAAATGAAAAATATTTGCGAGTTCTAAAAATTTTTAAAAATTGAGAAACAAATACGTTTGACTTTGAAAGTCGAAATTTATTTCGTGCCAAAAAGGAAAAAATTACAAAATATTACCTAATTCGACGTTATTTGAAAATATGTTTTTTTGCAATTTGAAAATTGGAACTGACACAATTGGAGGAAATGTAATAGCAGAGATTATACTTGTTATTTTTTTTTATTTTTAATTTCCATATATGGGAAATTTTTTAATTTTTAGGTTTCTAGTTTTAAAAAATTTGATTATAAGACATTTGTAACTTGTAGATAGAATACCATTTCGGTGCCATCCTTGTTTGTCCAACCAAGGATTTTGTTCCGGTAGAACATACGCCATTTCTTGTATTCCGCAGTAACTGCAGCTAGTTTTCGCTTCCAGTATTTGCCCTCTAAGACTACTGCCTGTGATAAATAAATTAATTAATCTTTTAAATTTACACTGTAGCTGAATGTCGGTCATATTCTCTTATACAGGGAATAAAAAAATGGAAGAAAATTTTTAATACAGTTATAAAAATAATGTAACCAGGAAATGATTTAAACAGTCTATTATTTACAAAGCACTGATTTATAGATTCAATTGTAAGTAAATTGTTTAATAGTGTTTATTTAAACAGAGGACTTAATTTACAGAACAGCAGCTCCATTTTTGGTTACACATTTATTGTACTTTCTTAATTTCTCAAACAAGATCTTATAAAATAAAATATGATGGCCATTATCAATTTTTAGTTTTAGAAAAGATAACAACGTTTAAAATAAATTAATACATATTGAACCTTATACCAGACTATCATCAAGAGAGTCTCAATAAACATAGAAAGCTTATCACGAAGTGATAAGCAAACGTACCTCAGGTTTATTGTGAGTATCAACATCCAACGGGGACGCAAACTGGCATACTAGCGTGTTCTGCTTCAATATAACTGAAATTATAGAAATTTATTTCACTCTATATCGTTCATTCTCAACCAGCAATTCTCTTTTAAAAAGAAAAAGAAAAAATTGAAAACTTTTGGAAACTATCTTTGTTTTACGACATGAATTCACCTGGTCTTGTTCATTAATTTTCTCCCTTTTTTCATACAGAAAAAAAAGAAAAAAAATATGATTTTTTAATATCCTTATATTCATGTTGTCTTACATCATTTATGTAACTTTCCGCTTCTTCCAGAAAAAGGAAGAAAAAAAAAAAAAAAAAAAACTACTGAGCATTCTAACGCTGCTGGATCCTCCAATTTGTTATGCCCCAATCACGCTTTTAGTTTCAATCGATCAAAAGATCTACAATGTTTTAAGGAAATCATTAACATATGATTGAAATTACAATCCATTTCTCCGTATTTTTTAAGAAGTTTTTTGATTCAAATAAAAAAAGTATGCAGCGGTACTCTTACCTCTAGCCTCTATTTTACTAAATAAATAAATTAACACAAAATTTAAAGGAACCACGACCGACTGACAATGAGTGCGATTTTTAGCTGCCAAAGCCTCCATTCATTGCAGAATTTTTATTTTACACTTTACACTTTCACGATGCGCATTCTCAAAGGATCGATGGATGGTTGTTCAGGTTTCTATGGTTCTATGGATGGAAACCTAAACGACCATCGATCCTTTTAATTTTGATCCTTTTTACTCTCTTTTTACGCAGTAAAGTTTACATTTGAGCTTAAAAAGGAACCCCCCGAAAGAAAAGAATAGGTATGCCTATACTCGAAAGGGAAAAAGTTCGTATACGAACCACGATGCGTTTCTTGGTTGAACGAAGTTCAACTTTGAGTTCGAGTCGGCCACGCGAACGTTGGAACCGATTAGTTAGCTGCCCTTCGACCTACGGCCATGCTCGATATGCTGGTTGCATCGAAGAAGAGACGCAAGCGTCCCGATGCCGACTTTGCGGCGACGCATTTTGTAATGTACTCGCGAAATAATTCTCGTAATCACTAACGATAGCAGGTACAAAGTCCTGCGACACTGTCTCAACTGCGAATTAAATTCGACGTCCCCTCCGTTCGACACTTCCAACGCTTCAATCACTCTTTCGTCTCCGAATCTTGTGCTTCGCTTATAGTCGCCTTTTCTATATACTTTAACACAAATTTTTCTGCAGTTTAGATATTAATGGAAACGATGATGTCTTTTTCTATTAAAAACAACGAACGTAACTATGCACTGGGAGTACAGTATACAATACATGTGCACAATGAAGATCATAACTCAAGTAACAACGATGAAAAATTGACAATATTTTTAACTGTTCTAACTTCGTAAAAAGAAATTACATCAACAATCTACTTGGTCTCTACTTTGAAGTTCTTTCAAAGATAGTTTTACTACACACTACGTAGTGGGTAGAGTTTTCTTCTCGAAAATTGTAAAAAAAAAATCTAACAAACATTTTAAATTTAAAATATCGTCGATATAAAAATTTATTTCGAAATTAAATTGAAAAACTTAGAAACGTTCATATCGTCATCGTTTTTCTGTACTTTTTTGATTTTTTTTAGAATCATGATCGACATAGATTCTGAGGAGTTCATTCGTAGATCTTGGGATTCCCTTATTTCTCAATTCGGTTGATATCGTCGCTCTTACGTTTTTAAAATTATCACTGGACACGCAGTTTTATTTCGTTTCTCTATGAACGTGTACAATCTTGTACTCGAAATTTTTGCGCTTTGCTTGCGAATCAACGAGAAAATATACACGTTCGCGGGGGTTGACGAGTGGAGAATCGAAAACGGCGGAGGTGATGAATTTAAAAATAGCGCTCGTGGCAGTCGAAATGTCAGTGAACGAGATACGCTTTGCGCGCTTCTGTCTCTTGCACAATTCTGAGCGGATTGATTTATTTAAATGTCCATCTTCTTACTTATACGATCTTAGCCTTGTCTATCAATTTCCCTTCTCCGTTAAAATTAATCCTTTAACCAAGAACGACGAATCAACATAATGTACTCATTGACAAATACTTCCTCAATTAATATGCGTTAACTCGTCATACATAGAATTTCAAAGATCTTTTAACTTTCAAATGACGAGTCAACACATATTAAAGAGCCAACTTGTCGAATGGTTAACAACAAGCAATAATTAAAAATTTTTGAAGAAACGAAAAAACGAAAGAATACTGCTTTGTTCGTTCGACGATGCAGCCATTTTACATCTATTCGAAGACCTTGGCCTTCGAATGAACTTTACCTCAACTAATTCCTCCTGGCGTGTCGATCTCGAGAGGAGAACTTACTAGCTTCGCGCCTCTTTCGAGATTAACTTAAAAAAAAAGGATCTATCGTCGAGATGGTTTCCGCTCCGCGAAAAGTGGAGTTTTCCTAGTTCGAAGGAGAACTTGGAGGAAGTTGGAAGCCGAACGGAGAGACGATTTCACTTCGCGGCGAAGGGATTTTGAATTCCCCGGTGTGACGGCATTCGCGAAACTGAAGTTTCGCAGAAACTCGCGAAGAGAGGAGAGACCGGTCGCGCTCGGTAGCCGCTGGCGGGGATTCTTTGTCACTGGCACGTCACGTGCCAGAGATTTCTTTATTTTGTACAACACCGCGCGGCGCCTATCTACCCGTCCGTCGTATCGCCTTATTTTTTCACGTCAGGATATCTTGAATCAATTTAACTTGGCTTTAGATTGCGCTTTATCTCGCCACCTTTGTTTTGTCGTAACTCGCGATGGAAACATCAGCGGCTGTCTCTCGTATTCCCTTTTTATCCGAATTTTTCGGACCGGACCGATTCTCCGGTGAATTTCGCCGTAAAATCTAGCGATCGTGAAACAAACGAAAGATGGATTCCACTCTGGAATAATTTAGCTGGGAAAATAGACTGAGGTCACTCGCAGAAGAGATTTGTTAATTTAATTCTACAGAAAACTATGCTAATCGCATAAACTATGCAAATACTCCGATTGTTTCGAAAAAACGCAGATGACGAAGTAACCGGAAATAACACGCTCAAGGCTCGAGGCGCATGTTTAATTCTTGCTGACCTTTAACAATCGTTTCGATAACCCGCGGTGATAACAAGATTTATTGGTTGTATTCGTTCGTAAACTTGGAAAAAGAAGGCATTTTCGGAAAATTAAATACGTCCCGGGATTTCTTTATCTTCACGCAACAACAGAATTAAAATCTCTTATTTATTCCTCTAAATTCTAAAATCTTTTCAAATTCAAATGTTTCTCCGGTAGTAACTTCTTTGAATTTTTTTTTTTTTTAATTTAAGCATTACTCTCGAGTTTCTCCAGTCTCCATTTGAATTCAAGAGAGAGTTTGTTAAAACTCTTCGAAGCATTTAAACGAAGATAATCGTCCAGTTAGTCGATTCGATTCACACTCGTGTTATATCACTTATCAAACTTCTAAACGCAGAATCACTGAGATTATTTCTCTGAAATCGAATTAATCATTTCCTCCTCCTTACTTGCTCATTTACACTCCGCGTTTCCTATATACTAAATCAGAAAATATCTCGTCCGAGACATGTGATAAGTTGTAGATTGCGAAAGTCTCGGATAGCGGCACCTCTTTCCATAACATGGAAAATTCTTTCGAAACCACCGAGACGTTCTCGTTTCTCTCAGTTAAATCACTCCATCGTTACTTTCACGATCGCTAGATTCTCGCGGCAAAGTTGATGAATGACAATAAATAAAATTTCAGGAATTTTCCATGGAAGGAGAAACCGTTTCAATTTTGTTCCACTCTCAGAATTTCTAGGATTAATTTCGATCGTATCGTTACGTTTGCGTTTATCGCGCGTATCGTGGTCGTGGTTCCGCGTTCACACCGTGCATGCCGCGTTTCCTTACATTGCATGTGCCAGCATCTCCATATCACGTTGTTCAGTCTGATCTTGTCCTTCCATCTCAGCCTGATACCTTTGAACCGATTCCACTTGGGCGATGTCAATTTCTGTCTGGAACAAATTCAAATGCCCATACGTCATACCTACTGTAACGCCAAATTTTCGATGTTTCGTCGATAAACTTTGTGCGAGTACATACGAGTACGTACGAGCGCTATTACAGAAATAATATTGATGACTCGTTGAGACAACAGAAGCAATAATTACAGAAAATCTTGTGTCGCGAATGCTTCGAATATTTGAAATTTCAATGTTATATTTGATCTGAAATTTCATTATTATATATTTGATTGACAAATGTTTGTACATTTTAAATATACGTATATCTTACGCGTACGATGTAAATTTCGATTTTGCAAATATCCGCAGTCTGTGTTAATTTTTTTTAATTTAATGCATACGTAAACTTAGAATTTCGCATGTTGCAATGCAATTACCTAGCGAGTTTCAATTGCGAGAGAAATATTTTTTATGTTTTGGTAGAATTTTAAATTGCGCGTGCCAATGTTTATTATTATTTCATTTAACAATTTCAAGCTAATTCAAAGGATACTATCGATTATGGCTGAAATTTTTCAATTTCCGAAATAAACACAAGCTTTCTATTAGAAGTTTCTTTTTATTATCTGATATTTAAACTCATTGTATACAAAGAAATTTTTCAACAATAGAAAGATAGACTTCGTCGAAAAGAGGGGAAGAGAAGCTCGATGAAAAATACATAGAAAATTGAAAAACTAGAACGTGAAAACCTTTTGTCAATCTGAAAGTTAGCCAGATACGTAAAATAGATCCAGAGAGATCTTTGCAGACGAGAAGCGGATTTCAATTCTCTGTAAACAGCTGGAAAACCGAAGAGACAGCAAGCGAAACGCAAACAGAGAGTTTATCTGGCTTTGCGGAGTATAGTTCGAGGAAGTTGTCGAACGTGGTAAGTTAGTGTCGTTGTAAAATACTTGACAGCTAATCGACGGGGCTTTGAAGAGACCAGATAAATTTCCAAGACCCAATAAAGCCTAGAAAGATTTATCGTTATCGCGACGTTCTCTCGAGTATTAGCAAGCGAGCCTCTGATCTAAATGGAAAAATAAAAATTGTGAACTTCTAAATGGAAAAATAAAAATTTCTTAAAGACGATTGTGGTGATCCGAAGCTTCGCAGATTATCCTATCTTTACGATGCAATGTTCTAAAGACATCTGATTCGCGAGAATGTTTATTGAGGCTATAGATACAAGTCGATCGAAATATTATGGCTTTTCAAGAGTTTCGTGGATTGAATACAACTCTTAGAAATAAGTGAAATTTTACACGTATTTCTATTGATAAATTCTCGTGGAATAATAAATGGCAATAAGAGAGCAAATGAATATATCTGAGAAGTAATTTAGTGAAATCGCATATTAGGTTAGAAGTAAATCTTATAAATTCGAAACGTAATCACGTAAAACTGTGAAATAAAAGTATACAACTTGTAATCTGTTAATTTGCTAATTTTGTCAGTTATTATTAGCAAGCTTTCCTTGTTTTGTTTGCAAAATGATAGCACATTATTCTTCGGTAATTTGTAACTTGTTAATTCACTGGCATCATTATGCAAGAGATTCCACGTATAATCATTTTTTGTAAACTTTTCAGTTTAAAAGAAGAGTCGACAATTTTCCTCTTCTCATGCTCGACTTAAAAACAACAATATCCTGTAAATTATAAAGATAATACGTATGAAACAGCCACAAAAATTAAAATCGACACGTTTCACTATTAAATTAAGTGATTCGATGAGAAATACGATTCCTTAAATGATTGTTTAACAATTATTGGAATTAGATCCTCGATTCTGTTTCTTCTCTTTCTCTTCTGAAACATCGTGCATGACTTGTGGAACGTGAGATGATCTACGAATCTGCTACTGTCGCGATATTAGTATACTTTTCGTTATCAAAATACTCGCGGCGATGTAACATCGTCGAAGACCCAACCAGTCGAGACGATTGTGGGAAGATTTCCACTAAAACGTCGCACTGCGTTTCCTCTTCCTTCGTTGGCATTAGACTCTGACCACTGTCAGCATTTTCATTTTTACAACAATCAGATCGATTAGATAAAAGAGGAGGCATAAGCGAAACGCGAGGCGACCCGACTGGCTGCCTCGAATCTTTATTCGTCGTATTGCAATTCAATTTACGACACGTTAATCTCTTTCGAAACGAAATCGCTCAACTCCAGAAATTTTTCGCATATAATTTATAAACGTCAGGTAATGTAAATATTACACGTGTGGAACTTGTACGTTGTATAATACGATTAGATTTTTTTGAGATGATAACAATAATCAGAATTGTGCAATATCTGAAAGTTGAGATAATGTACCTATCTGTGTTTCTAAAATAACTGCGAGTGTCTAGGAACTTGTTTGCCAGGAAAATTATCATCTCCTCGTGCTCGATGAAGAGCAAAGACCAACGACATCGTGAGATTAAGAAAATCTGCAAGAAAAGATTTTCTACGATAAACTAGGGGACTGACGATTTCATTCTCCTTTCATCCACTTGCTTGTCTTTCCATCAAGAAACAAGTACGATCAAGATACCTAATTCAAAATTTAGATTCGGATCTAGCCTGATGATTTATCAGTCAGAGGCTTCCAATCTGGAATTGGACCAAACTTGATTATACGAACATTTTTCAAAGCGTTTGACACGACACGAATATCCAACTTATATATGGTGCTCTTGGGACACCTTTCATTCTTAATATTTGTTATAGATTATATAATTTCTATTACTAGTATTTTGTAATATATTAACGCATTGCAATTAATATGTTAATGCAACACATAATTAACGCTTCACAGATTCTTTGTAATATCGCATCACTTTATATTTTTAAAATATATAATACTTATCTCGAGACTTTTCAAGTATTAACAGTTATCTGATTAGACTGTGGAGTCTATTTATGTATTTATAGGAAATCCAAAAAAATTAGACTACATATGTAAATTAGACTACAGAATACGCTAAAGATACAAAATTTAATAAATATGCTGCTTGTTATAAGATTTAATGGCTCGTGTTTCTACTTATTTCTTTCATCGTATCCATAATTAATTAAAAAACGTTACATAAAAACGTTCGCAGTCTGGCTATTATATTTTCAACGTGTAATGCTTCTCAAGAATCGCAAAATTCATCGTCAGCCACGTATGAAGCTTCTACATCTCGATTTCTTTTGAACTCCCGGTGTGTCGAGGTATCTCATCATCCCCCATTAATAAAACAATTAAATTGGTATCGCACATCGAGTTTACAAAACGAATCGTCGAAAGCTCGCGATAGCGATCGCCGGATCAAGCCCACTTGAAGTCACTCCATCTCCATCAGTAAAATCCACCTGTTTCTCTTTCTAAGCACGATGTGAATACCACCGCGATTAATTAGCCGCGAACATCTCGTTATCAGATAACGATTTATTTGTTCGTCGTACAGCCAATGGCACGATCCATCGAGCTGGGAGAAGCAAAGTTGATTATCGTCATTTATCGTGGAATTTCCCCCTTGTATCTCCGATTCGATTCGTCATTTAATTCTTATAGAATATAATACAGAATCATATATTATTCTCTTTAATTAGAATGTATGTTCTTCTTACCTAGAATTTTTTCATTTTTTTTTTTGAGACACAGAGTTGAAGTATTGAGAAATATCTTTTTATTTTTTTAAAGTAAAAGTACGAAGTGACTAGATCTAGTCGAAACTTTTTATCTAGCATTTCCTCATTTTTCAAGATAATGAGTTGAGACATTCGAAATACGTTTTCAGAAGTATATTGCAGAGTCTGCTGTATAGATAAATTGAACGAAGAAACATGTTTTGAAATTATAAGCAGCTAAAAACTTCGTATCTTAGATTTTTATCGCTCGTAACGCGCAGTTATTAATATTTATTTCTTGTAATTTGAATTTAATTACGTATCTCCACGTTCAGACGTATCATCCCATTAATTTCATAATTGATTAACGATATGTTTTTGTAGCTTGGAAAAAATGATTAACTTTTTACAATAATAAACGCGGAATGTTGCTTCATGGAAATTAGCAATTAAATTAAATTTAGATTGCTACGACAGTCGATACTCCAAATATAGTGTACTGTGTGTGTCATCTTCAAAAAAATTATCGATAAATATTTAAATTTAGTATCCTAAAATTTAAAATACTGCCTCCCGCCCAAACAATTTCTCAATTCGTAAATTACTTCAAACGAATCTCTCTCGCGGTAGCTCTTTTCCAAGAACTTTCCAATTCTGGAAAACATGGAACTGATAATACTCTTGGCGCGAAATTAAACTGTTGCAATCGACACACGGAGGTTCTTAAAGCCACAAATTCATAAAACTGTTTACAGGAGGTGCTGGTGTAAAATTGCGCAAGTCGCGTGCGCTCGAGATTCCCGGCATAAAATTTGAATGTCTGAGTGGTTGAAGAATACTAGCCCCGATGGAAAATCTCAACTCGGAAAATCTCAACCTCGACACGAGCACGCGTGATCTTCGTCGTAAATAATCACGCACGTTCACGTGAAAGTTCTTCACGCGAGTAGAGGAGTTTCGACATGCTTTTTCACCGAGAAATTCATGCTCGCGCAAATTGCGATTGTTATCGCGAAAGAGATATATCATTATCTATGATATAAAAACGAACGGGGCTATCGAACGAGTAAAAATTTCTTAAGAACAATTATCTTACAATTAGATGAATCGTATTGTTACGGGCCTACTATGGATCATAAAAGGATGTTCGTATACTGAATTATTGACATCGTCAGATCCACTCGCGAGAAGATCACGCTGTTAAACCACAGTGAAAGGAATGTGCGACGATACAAGAAACTGATAAAAATCTTACGAAAGGGGAGATTATGTAAGGAAAAATGTTAGATATATACGAAGTTTATAAAGGGTGGGGGAAAGAATTGGTGAAAATGAGCATGAAGATTGAAATTAAAAGATACTTCATTAATCCAAATTAAATAAACATATAGGACCAATAAA